CTGGCCTGAGCGACGAGCTTGGGCGACGGGCACGTGGTCCGGGCCGCGTGGGCTTCCGGGGGCGCTAGGACCGTCGCCCCAGCCCCACTCCTGCTGGAGTAGCTGTAGGGTCTGCAGAGCCACCATTTGGTGACTGATGGAAGCCACTAAGGGCGCGGGGCTGGCCATGGCCGGCTGGCAGCTGGGCGCAGACAAGCAGGTGGAGCGCAGGAGAGGGAGCCTGGCGGCGTATGGGGTCGTAGGGTCACATTTTCCCAACTCCCGGCTCTCCCCCGGCCTCCGCGTCCCTCAGCGTGTGTGGCCCGCCCCGCCCCCGGCCCGCAGGTGGTGACCCGAACTTGCCCCTGCATTCAGTTCCAGGCAGAATGGGCTCAAAATGACCCAAAGCTGCCTGAAGCCTGTTCCTCCGTGAGCGCTTGAACATCAGCCAAATGCTGATCTCTGGTTCTTCCGCCTCTCGGGGCTTTGGTGGGGAAACGCGCGGCTTTGTGCGGATGTATCTATCCCCAGATACCCCGCCCCTTCTTCCCTGAAGGACGCCAGTCAAGGACCGCTTAAGGCAGGGGAGGCCCCAGGTCTGGGGTGTCATCGGGAGCCAAAGTGCCCAGAGCTCCCGCCAAACTCACAAAGGACATTGGTGGATTCCCCTACCTTCTCTGGAGGCGTTTTCGGAAACTCTGTAAAATAGCCTTGCAGACGTCCAAACAAAAGGTGTGGACAGCGAGTCTCAAAGTTCATTCCTTATTGCTTGATTCCCTGCAGGTACTGACATCCCAGATGCAGAAATGGCATCAAGGAAGAGGTGGCACAACTTGCTCCTGAACCCAAACCTGGCTCTGCCCAAATTTGGAGCTTGACTGTTTTGTGTGGAAGGACTCAGGCAGCAAGGTCAAAGGTCAATCCTCTTGTGTGTGTGTGTGGTGGGGGGAAGCATGAACCTCAGGACAGCTGTATAAATACTCATTTTAATCACACCAAACACGGCTGTCTCCTTTAAGTAATGTGAAAGGATTCAGTCATAGGTGGTTTTGGTTCGTGTGTATGAGTGAGTGAGTGAGTGAGTGTGTGTGTGTGTGTGTGTGTGTGCTTGTGCTTGGTTGTTGTTGTTTTTAAAGGCATTTGGAGGGAATAGCAGGGAGAACTATCCCAGAGAGCATTTTTTTTTTTTTTTTTTTTTTTTTTTTTTTTTGCTTTCTCCTTGAAAGGAGAATCCAGTAATCCAGCCCAGCAGAAGCAGGGACACAGAGGAGGAGTGAAAAGTCAGGGGCAAACTAGAGGCCCAGGCAGATGAAGGGCATGTCCTGTGGAGTCAGTTCTGGAAGCTCTCTGAATGGAAAAGCTGTCCTGTAGGCACCTATGAGTGAGTATTAAGAGATACGGAGTCCATCCATTAAGATTTCATGGACTCCGGGGTAGGTGACCCTGTGCAATCCTCCCCGCCACCCAGCAAAGGTTCTTGGAAATCTTAGCTTCCTTCCCCTGAAAAAACAATCTGAATAAAGTGATTTTAAAAAGCAAAAACAATCATGTTAAGGTTAATTATATCTAGGTAAAAACACTAATCTGCAGCCACAGAGCAAATGACTTTGGAGAGAAACAGTTTGTTATTGATTAGTTTACCTCACCATAAAGTTACTTAAGTTCATACACGGAAATACAGAAATTCTCCCGAATTGTGTATTTACTGTTTAAAACTTCAGATGTGAAGCACATTCGGCAAAGATGAAACAGGGCACAAACCACCCCCTGTTTGCAGAAAACATGCCAGGTCTCCAGGATTTCATGAACTAAGCCCTCTGCAAACTTCTCCTGACCAATGGCATTCCAGTCAACAAGACAGTGATTCCCAAGCAGAGCAGGGCCTAAGCCCTCCTCTTCTACACACCTCATTGATTCGGAAAGCCATGAGACAACTGACCTTCAGGAAGGACATGAGGTGAGGGCCAGAAAATCACAGGGTATGAGGGGTGAAACTGCCAAACGAAAGATGGCCTGGTGGCTCTTCCAGCAAAACTCCTATCTAACCATCCGTGAGTCACATTTGTGTTTGGTATGATCTCAACATGGCTTATGGTCCGAAGCTGGAGATCAAAGACCATAAGGAAAAGTCTTCATGGAGCATTGACAAGAACTAAGAGTATTAGCAGGTCTCTCCTTGGTCTAAAGCATCTGCAAGAGTTGATTTTGCTGGGCCACCAGACCAAGCACACTCCCACACCCATCATGTACCCAGTCTGAAACACTGGAAGAAGTGCTCAGTCAAATAATGCTGTATATTCAGTATTTTTGCTTCAGTACCTATCTGAGTATTTTATGGAGCCTATGTTCTCATTGCTCAGTGGACACGCTTCAACTTTCATGTTCAACCCATGGGTTTGATAAGGTAAACTGATCCACGTTGCCGAAGAAAGAGATTTGAGTCATCCAGGCTGCAGTCAATTACAAGGTCAGTGGCAACCACTTAGAATGCTTTCCGTTGGGTGTACTGTAAAAGATAAAACCACAGAACTTTATAGTATAGGCCAGGAGATCACACAAGCACAAAGAGCACTTCCTCTTTCAATAGGTATAACACACAAGAATTTAATTGACAAGAATTTATTGTCCCACATAATAAGAATTCTAAAGGTGGATTTCATTTTGCTCAATACTAGAGTTCTGAGATGTCATCAAAGCCCTTGGTTCCTTCCATCTTTTTGAGAGACAACCCTCAGCATGTCTGCTTTATCTTTTGTGCTTGGTCCTTGGGTTACTTCTCCTATAGCCACCAAATAGTAACTATGGCTCCTGCCCTTGCCTCTGGACAACAATCTCTAAACCAAGAAGTTATCTCTTCTTCAGTAGCCCTTCTCAAGTTCAGGGAGTTGCCTCATAAAAAGCTGCAGATGTCCTTCATCTATGTCTTGGCTGAAATTGTAGAACATATTTTTGTCAAGACAATCATAATTGAGAGGAAAGGGGCCAAGATAAGAATGAACCAAAATTCAGTCCTGAAGCATACACTCATAACGTGAATGGCGAATATTCAGTAGGAATCCGGGTTCTGTTACCAAGCAACAGCAGTGGCAACCAAACACCAGGAAGCTTTTGCAATGGCCCTGAGGAAAAGACACATCCCATCTCCAGGTACACAGGAAGCCAAGTATCACAAGGCCTATCTTTCCACTACAGAGTGGTTGACTATGATGTGCCTTGTGCAAGAGAAACTGAGGAGATACATGTTGTAGAGCCTCTGCAGCAACCCTGTGAGTTTGAGGGGCCAGCCTGCCTATGAATAACTCAGCACCAAAGAGAGAAAAGTCAAAATGTCTGGAGAGAAAATACCAGAGTATTTTTCATATTTGCATACTGCACAGAGCAGCTCATGAAGACAGCCCCACCCCTGAGAAGTTGGGTTACAGAAGACAATAAAGTATCTTTTTTATTTGACCCGTTTGGTGTTTAATTTCTTAGAACAGAAGGAATCATGATGCAAACAAAGAACATAACATATCACTGAAAAAGTACCAAGCCAGTTTCACTGACCCTGTGAGCCAGCATCCCTGTAACTAAACACTGCTGAATCGGTCCAATCAACCACCTCTACAAGAGTTTAGCCATCCCCTGACCTTTGCAGGTTAAAGATCTCGAGGCAACTCCCATCTTCTCCATAACCCACGAGGACCTTTTAACTGATCACCAGAATCACTAAGACTCTTGTGGATGAGCGATGAGAATAAAAGGGGCGAGAAAGCTCAGGGAGTGAGAAACCCTGCTCCACCTGTCAATGGACAAGGAGTTTATTACTACAAGGACAGGGGTTCCCAGACTCCTTTCCCACTCATGAGAAAGGAGTGGTTTTCCCATGAGCCAACCATGCCAGTCTCAAGCAAAATGTTTGAGAAGCTGGGCTCTGGAAGGGCCAAAGGGAACAGGTGTGCCATCACCCTCAAAGGACTCAGCAGAGCCCAGATACATGTGAGCCCTGCTTATATTCTTTGTCACTTTTCTTCAAAGGGGATCCAAAGGAATTCCAGAGCCAGCCACTAATCTTCAATGCACTCTGGAGAAGTTCGCAGAGTGGGGCAAAACAAGACATGTCCTTAGAGGCCAAAGTGTTGTTGTTCTTGAATAAAAACCACAGAAAAGGGCCACATCCGAGAAGCAGATGCTGAAGAGACAAATCAAGATATGAAAAGGTACAGAGGAACAACCAAACAGGGAAAAGGTACAGGCGGAAGAAGACAAAGCAAGAAAGATTGAATTCCCTTTGCAAACATGTAACCATGGTGTATGAAGACTTCATGCACAAGAAATTCTGACTTAGCCTAAACATTTTTCAGTAAAGACAGAGAGAGGGATGCACATATGTTAGCACAAAACTGCTAAAATACGAAGAACAGTCTTTACACAGAGCAGTGTGCTTTCAGAACATCATGCCTTCTCAGATTCTTTTTCAGATTCTTTTTCAGAACACTGCCTTCTCAGATTCTTTTAGGTTAATCACTTGGTGAATCTGAGTTAAGAAAAAGGCACGAGTGGGTGAAGAAAGCATCATAACTTGTTATGAAGTGTCTCCCAAAAGGCTCATGTGTCAGAGGTGTGGTCCCCAGCTGGTGCAGCCAATCATTGAGAGGACTTTAGCTGCAGACCATTTTGCCCTACTCAGGGATCATTGGCCAGTTCATAATGAAGTATTGGAAGATAGAGGGTACTGTTGAAGACGAAGTCACTGAGGGCACATTCTAGGGGTAATAGAGAGTCCCTGACCCGTCACTGCCTTAACCCCCTCCTCTTTGCTTCCTATCCACTCTGAGGCAAGCAGCTTTGCTCTACATCTTGTACTGTGATGTTTGACCTCATCACAGGCCCCAGATATGGCTGTGTCCTTTTATCATAACAAAACAGAGAGGGAACGGAAAGTTTGGAAATGATGAGTACCACCCGGGCCTCCTGAAAAATCCGGATATGATATGCTCTGCCATGCTTTGCCTTTTCAACCCAAAATACAAGTCTTTCCAACTATAGAAAATATTTGACTTGGTTCACTTTGTTTAATTAACCCAATCCTAGATTTATGGAGGAAAAGTATTTCTGTGTGGCCAGGACGGACTTGCACTCACGATCCTCTGGCCCTAGCCTCTGAGTGCTTGGACTGCAGACAGGCACCACGGTGCTCTCACTGTGTTCCCACAGTTTACCCTAGGAAAAATTTTTGATGTTGGAAGAGAAAAGAAGAAAACTTTAAGAATACATTCAACTTTTTGAATTGTTGCAGCTTTTCCAGTGAGAAAGTTTTTAAGAATAAGAATTTGCTTGCCACCTCCAAGAGACTTCAACAGAGCAGGCTGGCCAGTGTTACCCCCAGAGGACATCTCTTCCCTCTGCGGGAAAGATAAAGGGCTACTGTGTATCCTAAATCATTTTGATTATGTCTATAGATACAGTTTATGTGTTGAAATGGGGAAAAATTAAAGATAAAAATGGGCAAAGGGTCTGTCGTAGTGGCAC